GGGAGGGCAAGGGAAGGGGAAAAAAATAAGAACCAAGAGACTCATGTAATGGTACAAGATCCCAATGATGAATGTAACTATTGTATACCTAAAATGTACCAATAAAGTTAATGGGGAAAAAAAAAGAAAAAGAAAATCACTGTTTAAATCTGTTATTTTAAGGGTAATTTTTTATGATTACCTTGTAGCCTGTTAATCGTATAATCTCATGTTATTGGTTTATATTGCTAGCAAGAACTAAGTCCAGTGTTGATACATTCTTTAAGAGACTCAGTATCTACAGGAAGTAGATTAATTTGGACCAGTATTATCTACACGGGGTACCATCATAATACATCTGCTTCCTTGTATAAATCTATACTTGGGCCAGGGAAGCTCAATGGTGCCGCTGCCTGCCTCGAAAGTGCAAGGTCCTGAGTTCGATCTCTGGTACAAAAAAAAAAAAGGACCAGGGATTTAGCTCAGTGGTTCTGCCGCCTGCCTCCTGAGTTTGATCCTGGTTACCCAGATAACTAAATAAATCTATACTTATTCAAAGTGTCTAGATCCTTTCTTTCTTTGGCTTAGTAGTACAGAAAGAATAACCTTCTGAAATCACAGAAGAAATACAATCTGCTGAGTTATATACTCCAGCTGGGTCTCTTAAGACTTTAGCTTTCAGACCAAATTATAATCTGTGAAGTATTAAAGTCTCTAACTTTAAGTTTGGTTTCTTAAGCAATATAATTTCAAATTGTTTTAAAGACCTTGAGGTGTAGAGTACAGTCTTTTAATATGTGAACTAATCATATTGAGGAAAACCATGATAGGATTGTCAAATGCTGCTAGAAGGGGCAAAAAAATTTAAGTATGATACAGTATCTCCAGGCTTAGCATTTGGTCCTTTTAAGTGTACAACCTATAGAATAAATACAATGGCTAAGACTATTGAGTAGAAGTGTGATATGGCTTATGAAGAGAATGAAAAGTCCCTTTTCCCACATATTCCTACAATTTACAACCAGGGTAAAGTCTTAGGCCTACTATTTTTGGAGGTTCTTGGATTTCCACTTCCCCAGTCAGTACAGTAATTGTCTTTCCTCTGTGGGTTTGGTCCCAGTGGTTCTCCAGTTGATCTCTTCAGTCAGCGGTGTGGAATGTGAGACTGTGGTGGTCAGCATTAAGTGGTCAATGACTAAGGGATGGCTTTCTAGTGAACATTCACCCCTACTTTTCAACAGTGTACTATGGCATTTAGTAAACTGCTTACATCTTAATTGACAGCTGATTTTCAAAATGGTAGAAAGGCTGCTTTTTATGGCTAAAATAATGTGTGGCTCAAATGGTTTTACATTAATTCTTAATGTCTAGAACAAAATTCTGTTAGAAGGAATGGGGAGATATGTGGTCAAATTGTAGAACCTGGGGCCAAACTTTATTTTTTTAATCTGCTTAATAACCTAACTCTAGTATGGTTGGAAGGAGTAGACTACGAAGAGGAGCTTAACCTAATACTCAGCTTTATTTTTGTAATCCTCCTGCCTTTCGAGTGCTGAGACTACAGGCATGCACCACCACTTCTGGCCTGAGGACATTTTTACCATGAATTTCATGAGTGTCTTATGAAGGGGTAATCTTTAACTGTGATGCCAGTATTTGTGAAGTCTTCTTAAAAACTTAGAGATAAAAGGTAGAGAGTTAGCTGTAATCCCACCACTCAAGAGGCTGAGGCAGAAGGATCACTACAAGTTCAAGGTCTGCCTGGGCTACGTAGTGAGACCCTATCTCCAAAAAAAAAGAGGAAATTTAAAGGTGAAGGGTTTTCTTTGTATTTTTTTACTTTTTAATTTCAGTAGTACATGTTTACAGCACTGAAAGACCATATTCATCATAGCGAGTTGGTACATGTACATAACACATCTTAATCATTTTTTAAAATTTCCTCCCCTTCCCATCTCCTCCCTCTCACTCTCCATCTCTTGGTCCCTTTCCCTTTTGCAAAGAAGATCTGTCTCCCTGTTTCCTGTCATCTGTCTTTTATTTTTCTTTTTAATGTATTTATATTTTGGGTTTCTCGTATAAGAGAAACCATATGATATTTAAGCTTGTGTGTCTGATTTATTTTATTTAACATTGTGGTCTCAAGGTGCATCCATTTTCCTGCAGACAAGTAAAGTTTATCATTCTTTATGGCAGAGTAGCACTGCATTTTCTTTATTCATTCATCCGTTGATGAACATAAAGGCTGCTTCCCAGATTTAGCTGTTACGAAGATTTCATCCTCGGTAACACAGTCTTTTTTGTTTTTTCTTCTTCTTCTCTGTATCTTCCTAAGAAATTGTGGCTTAAGGGTTGAGAGTAGTTGCTGAGGTATATGTGAACCATTACTGTCATTTGACATTAGGATCAGCATTTTCAAGAAATCCTTGTGGCTCCAAGAGGCTTGTTTAGGAGCTGTAACAGGTTAGTGGGCAAGATGCTAAGAAGGCAGAAGCGGAAAGGGAATACAGAATTATCTTAGTTTTGCTTCTATTGGCTTTTTAAGAAATTTCTGTTGCATTTATTTATGTTTTGAGACAGAGTCTCACTGTGTAGTTTAACCTGGCCTTGAACTCACTAGTAGCCCAGGTTGGCCTCAATCTCTCAATGATCCTCCTGCCTCAGCCTCCTGAGTGCTGGGATTACAGATGTGCGCCACCACACCCACTTTTCTCTTGCTTTTAGACTGTAGATCACAGGCTCTTTTCAAGGACATAGTTAAATGAGTGCTAAGTTTGCTTTGGTTTTCTAGGAGTGATTATATGGCCCACTCCTTAAAAACTTAGGGATTAAAAAAAAAGCAAAACTTAGGGATTTAGGTGAAATAATTTTTAAAACAGTGATTTTTTTTTTCATTTGTAAAGGAAAAGGCATCTCTACCTCATCCCAAGCAGAGGTGTCTTATGTCCACTAGGGGGTAGTGTACACTGTAGAAATTAACATTTCCTTAACTAATCCTTATATCATTGTGACGTTGTTCACTGTGAATTCATTTTTGTCCACACAGCGTTTTTGTGTTTTTGAAGTTGCTGCAGCTCATTTTCAGATGCACTTCTGGTGTCTTGGCGCACGCCAGTGGTTCAGCTCCGAGGGAGGCTGAGGAAGGGAGATCACAAGGTCCAGGCCAGCCTGTGTAGCTTGGCAAGACCCTGTCACAAAATAAAAATATAAAGGCTGGGGATGGTGCTTCGTGGTAGAGTGCCCTGGGTCTGGTCCCCAGTACCGCAAAAACGTCTTGGTTGTAGCAAACAGTAAGTTTCATACACATTTCTGTTACAGTGCTCTAGATGCCAGAGGTAAATGCTGATAATTTATAATTACACAATTTTGCCTATTATTTATAGTAAGTTAAATTACTCTAAATGACCTGTCCGTAACATTGTAACAGGACTGTCCTGTCACGCTTTCTGATATTACCATGCTAGTCCCATTTCCTCTTGAGCAGTTGAAATGAGGCTATTTTGGGTGTATCTTTTTTGGTATCCGGGATCGAACTCAGGACCTTGAGCTTTCGAGGCAGGTGTGTGACCACTGAGCTAAATCCCTGGCCCAAAATGAGGCTATTTTGAACTGATACATATTGTAAGTGTAAGTTACACACTGCATTTTGAAGACTTCTTATAAAAATGTAAAATACATTAATAATAATTATTTTTTCAAAGACAGAGCCTCACTGTGTATTTCGCGTTGGCCTTAAACTCACTGTATAGTCCAGGCTGATATTCCTGCATCAGCCTCCTGAGTGCTGGGATTACAGGCATGTGCTACCACACGAGCTGTATTTCTTACATGTTAAAATAATATTTTGAGTATGTTGGGTTAAGAAATATTATTAAAATTAATTTACTTTTAAAAAATTATACTACCTTTCTAAGGATACTGTTTAGTCTGTTTTTAGAGTTTTACTTTATACAATTTGATCATTAGCTTAAAGAATGTATCACTTCGTATCACCTCATAGTGAGCACTAAATACTCAATTTAAAAATGAGAACAGTCTTGGTTAAAAGAAGTTGATTGAGAGAATGTCAGAGGTATAGTTTACTGTGATGTGATTCTTGGGCTTGTTCAAGTCCCAGTAGATCTATTGATAATCAGGTCAACTTGATGTACCCAGTTCTTTTAAAAATATTTGTGGCAAGGCCTGGGGATTTAGCTCAGCGGTTTCGCCACCTGCTGCTCAAGCACAAGGACAGAGTTCAATCCCCGGTACCAAAAAACAAAAAATTTTGTGTCTTTGCCTGTGCTGAGGCACTGACCTCATGGCCCCCTATATACTTTGAAATTAAAAAAAAAAAATTTTTTTTTTTGAGGCATATACTGCTGTCCATATTCTGTAAGGTATTTTTCTTTAGACCTAAATCTTGCTGGCCTTTAAATCTGTATTTTACTGTTCTTAAATGTATTTCCTTTTCTACATTTTAGTAACTGACTTCCTGAATGGTCTACAGTGTTTTCTGTGGGGCAGTACTAGGCTCAGTTCTACCTGGGTGTTTATCCTTGGATTGCTTTTAAACATAGGATCACAGAGTTCAGTCAAAGGTTATTTTGCTTTCTTTAAAACAAACATTAACGTCTTGAGGTTTGTTATTGTGCTTTGTACTCTACAGTCTGTTTGTGTGTGCCTGGGCTCTTCTTTTGGTGATTGTAGTAGAGTCCTGGTACTCAGCACTGAGTCTGCCCTTTGCTACCTGTACTTACACAGGTTCAATGCCCTTCCCATCTTCACTGAGCACTTACGGTGCACCATCTTGTGAGATCTTTGCAACCTCAGCATACATTGTTTCTTTCTTAAGTTGAGATCTCATCTTTTCTTCTCTCAGGCATATCTAAATGCCAGCATCACTACTGTTGCACTGTGCGGCCGCTGTTAAGTAAAATAAGGGTTATTTGGACACAGCTGTGTGGTACAGCTCCAGTCAGTCCTGATGGCCATTCTCATAACCGAGACTGCTAGTAAGTGGGTACTCAGTGACTGATGGGCCAGCAGTGTGTTCTTTATGGGGAGGGTGGATAAAGAGATGATTCACTTCCAGGTGGGACAGTGAGAGTTCCTCATGCTACTCAGAATGGTGCACAGTTTAATTGGGTGTTATTTCTGGATTACATAAAAAATTATTTGGATGGTACTGGGAATTAAACCCAGAGCTTTGCTTTTCTCCTTCCTTCCTTCCTTCCTTCCTTCCTTCCTTCCTTCCTTCCTTCTTTCCTTCCTTCCGCATTTTGTGTTTTGAGACAGTCTTGCTAAGTTGCCTGGGCTGGGCTTCAACTTGTGATCCTCCTGCCTCAGCCTCCTAGAGTGCTGGAATTACAGGCATGTGCCACCACACCGGGCTTGGAGTTTTCCACTTTTTGACCAGGTTGACCAAGAATAGCTGGAACTGTGGAAGGGCCTTTATGTTAGGGGGCTTCTGTAATTATGCATGAAACCTGAGGAGGGAGCTGGCTCAGGGCAAGCTTGCTCTCAAGTGTAGCTAAGCAAACATGGGGGAATTTGAGACTTGTACCTTTTGCCTTGAAAGAAGTCATAGCATACTGTGCTGCCTTTCTGACCAAGAATGGTATAAAATTAGAAGGTATTTTACAGTTGACCTTGTGTTGGATAGTAGTAATGATTGTATTTCCTACCTAATTTTTTCATTCTTAGGGAAAAAAGTTGATAACAGTTTGTTTCTGTGCTGCTTTCTGAAACTCTCCTTTTAGTTTGGATTTTATTATTTTCTCCTCCTAGAATTTATGCTGTGGATTTGTTTGGGAAATCAACAGTGTTTAGCCAAATAATTATGTATCTGTTCATTGTGTCAAATTAATTAGAGCCTAGAGCATATAAAAATTATTTTGAAATGTTCTCTACCCCCGGAAGCTTATTCTCAGAGGTGTTCCTATGAAATCTTAAGGATGATGAGGCTGTGTGGGGTGCTTGGTGTGTGCAATGTTTGGGAGTATCTGACTCTGAGGGTGAACTGATGAGAAAGTGGCCATGGTATCCATCTCTGCTGGTGTGTATTCAGAGCAGTACTCAACCTATTTGGGGATCTGATCTTGAAGGCCCTTCTGGTAGCTTTTTACAGCTTTAAACAGAGCTGCTACTACTTTGCATACCCGGGGAGTAGCAGTTTGGGATTCGTGGACTGTGACCTTCCTTTTATCCTGTCTTCCGTTTTATGGAAACTTGGGGTAAAACAAAAGGATGGAGGGGCCAGAGATTTAGCTCAGCAGTTCCACCGCCTGCCTTGCAAGCCAAGGACTCCAGTTCGATTCCCAGTACCCAAAACAAAAGGAGGGAGGGAGGGAGGTAAGGAGGGGCCAAAGTTCAACACATTTTGCCATCCAGGTTTCCCTCCCATTCCTCTGTTCCTTACTTTAAAAGCTTTATGTTGTTTCTGGTCACATGCTGGCTTGCTTCTCAAGGTGGAAGACTACTGCTTTTTGAGCTTTAAGTTGGTGTAAATAAAATACTCTCATCCATTGTTTCATACCTAAAAGCTTAGATGTGATCCTTTGGGGAACTTTCTTTTTTTTTTTTTTTTTTTTTGGTACTGGTGATTGAACTTGGTGCTTGCGCGTGCGCAGCCAGCACTAATCCACTGAGCTAAAGGGCTGGCCCCTTTGGGGAACTTTCTAACTACACATGCCTATTCAATGTGGAAATGTGTTACTAATACATGTTACACACACTACTGTCAGATGGTATAGTACATAGTACCATTTTTCTGAAGTAAATACAAGTAGAAGTTAGGTTGTTTCTTCCACACCTAAATGGATCCTTTTGTTTTCCTACTGTGATAAGCAATCCCCGTTTTGAAAGTATCGCCTACTTTATTGTTGTTGTAGTACCACAGATTAGATGCAGGGGTGTTCTGCCACTGAGCTATTTTCCCAGCCCCTCCTATTTTCTGTTTTGAAACAATGTCCTGCTAAGTTGCCCAAGTAGGACTTTGGGGAACGTCAGCCTCCCAAAGTGCTGCTTTTACAACCAAAAAGCCACTGTGCCTAGTTCAAAGATGAAATTCTAATAGTTTACTCCATACTTGTTTATTCATAATTCAACAGGTGTTTCTTGAACATCCATGATAGTGCCAGCCATTGTTCCAAAAGCCGAGGATGTAACTGAATATCATCAAACTTAGATCCCTCCTCTTAGGAGGCTCCATTCAGAGCCAAATCAGTGTGTGAGGTATGGTGTGTTAGTAGTGCTGTGGAGATAAAGTGGAGAGTGAGGTGGGGACTGTATGGCAGTGTGGAATGGAGTGTGCAGTTTCAGTGCCAGCTACTGCACTAGAACAGGCGGTTTTCTGAAACAGTGTCTCATCTTGCAATGTAGCTCAGGCTGGCCTTGAACTCTCTTTGCACCCAAGGCTGGGCTTGAAATTTGGCCATCCTCCTGCCTTAGCCTCCTGAGTGCTGAGATTACAGGGATGTGGCTATACCACACCCAAGTTCTTTTGCGTTTCTTTACCCTGACTTTATCATCAGTATATTTTAGTAAGCCATCAGTATTTCTTTGCAGTTGAATTCAGCTAGCTATAATTACTTGAAAAGTCTTTGGATTTTATAAATAAAAACTCACCAGGAGATTGGAGAGGTTCTGTTCTAATTCTAAGAGATGAACTTTAATTTTGGTGTCTAATGAAGTGACACTTGTTTCACAACTGTTTTGTTTTTGTCTTATAGGAAACTCAGCGTTTGCTGGCAGAACCAGTTCCTGGCATTAAAGCGGAACCAGATGAGAGCAACGCTCGTTATTTTCATGTGGTCATTGCTGGCCCCCAGGATTCCCCCTTTGAGGGAGGGACTTTTAAACTTGAACT